CGATGATGTAGACTGGAACCAGTGGGTTGAAGATGGGCTAGCAGCAGTAGCCCAGCTTAAGCACCCACAAGATCAACCCACAGGTAGAGCTACATCTGGTTCCATCGCTCTGTAGACAGAGGATAAAGACCCAACATGCACTACTGGAAGATGAAGGTTGGAAAGGCGGTTGGTCCAGATGGAGTACCACCAGAGGCATGGAAGGCGCTGGAGAGTACGGGATAAGATGGCTCACCCATTTCCTGAACACGGTAACTGCGGAAGGAAGGATGCCGGATGCCTGGAGAACAAGTACTATCGTCCCCATCTTCAAGCAGAAGGGTGACGCGATGGACTGCTCCAACTACCGCGGGATCAAGTTGACTGCGCATACCATGAAGTTGTACGAGCGACTGGTCGACTCGAAACTGCGGGAGCTGGTCCCGATCTCCCAGGAACAGTTCGGGTTCATGCCCGAAAGGTCTACACGGATGCCATCTTCATCGCAAGGCAAGTGATGGAGAAGTATCGAGAAAAGCGCCGACCCTGCTACCTAGCCTTCCTCGACCTGGAGAAGGCGTTCGACCGGCTACCGCGAGCAGTACTATGGAGAGCGCTCAGAACGGAATGTGCCAGAACACCTGATCTCTCTGGTGAAGGACATGTACGACGGGGCTAAGGCAGCCATACGCACCCCACATGGCCTAACAAAGGAGGTAAACATCACGGTTGGGGTGCATCAAGGGTCAGCTCTGAGCCCGTTCCTCTTCCTCCTAACACTAGATGTCATGGTGAAGGGGCTCATGGGACCACTGAAGACCATCCTCTACGCTGACGACATCGCCCTGATAGCGGATAGCAGAGAACTACAAGCCAAGGTGCAGAAATGGCAGAAGTCCTGGCAGAAGGCGGGCTCCGGCTGAATGTCAAGAAGACCAAGTTCCTGAGCTGCAGAGCCGATCGTGGACGGCCATGGTGAGACCATCGAAAGAGTGGAGGACTTCCGCTACCTTGGGAGCGATCTGGCAGCTGATGGCAGTGTGGATCAGGCGGTGAAGGCTCGGGTCAACACAGCATGGATGAAATGGAGGGAGTCCACTGGAATCCTCTGCGATCCGAAGGTGCTCCAGAACGCTCAAAGGGAAGGTGTACCGAACAGTGGTAAGGCCTGCGATGCTCTACGGCAGCGAGTGCTGGCCCCTGAACAAGAATCACGAAAGGCAGCTTCACTCCGCTGAGATGAGGATGCTGAGGTGGGCCTGCGGCTGGGACGCGACTGGACAGGGTCAGGAACGAGGATGTTTAGAGACGGGTCAGTGGGCTGCCCCTGACCAGCTGAAGGTGCGGGAACAACGACTGCGCTGATGTGGGCACATGCTAAGGAGGCCACAGGATCATCCGATAAGATCAGTACAGGACTTCGAAGTGCAAGGCAGCGACGAGCGAGCAGCTCAAGAAGAGGTGTGCAAGACGTCATAAAGAAGAACCTCTTATGACGCAGGGCGCAGAGGGCGTGAGACAGGACCAAAGTGGGTGACGTTCTGACAAGAAATCGACCGACGGCCGGCAGGATTAACGAGGGTAAGAAGATAGGAGGCTTTGATGTGGGGATTCTAGAATTTGACGGCAATCAGCCGCAGGACAGGTCTTGTAAGATTTCAACATTTTTCTGAGCTATAACAAATGCCGCCTGACTCTCCTTCGCTTTTTGGAAAGAAAAAGCAATGCGCACCATCGCCAAATCGCGCTATGGCTACGGCCATGTTTAGCACTTTCTTGATTCTGTTTTGCAGCACAAAGGGCGGGATGGCACGAAAAGTACGGCGCGCCCTCTAAGCGGAAACGTAGAGACACTAGGGTGCACTGATCAAGAAGAGAACGACTAAAGACCCCAAAATGGGACCCATCTTTCGTGTTGTGATTTCCGCTATGGACGAGGCAGTGGTGAAGACGAGCTTGTTGTACGTGCTAATCCCGCTAGCCGGTATCATGCCACCAGGTGTGATCCTTTCGGTTGACCATAACCTAGAAAGGTGAAAGATACAACCGCTTAAGGGGCAAAAATTCAGGATAAAATAGGTGTGGAAAAGCGCAGTTATGAAGCTAGAGGTGGGAGGTGGTCTGGAAAGAGAAGGAAAAGCAAACGAAACCACCGATTACGCCCCGCACAGAGACCTCCCCTATTTCAGCCGCATTCCACCTTGGGATAGAGAAGATGCACGTTGGACGAGTTTCACGAACTAACTCTACTTGCTCCAGTGCCAGTGACAATGAGGCAGCAGTCCCATTGCGTGCCAATGACATTGGCGCGCAATGGGACCGCTGCCTCAAATGCGCCCGCGCTTTCCAAGCAGCGCACGTGACTGCGACCGACGGCGGAGCGGTGGAGTTATCGGAAGGTGTGGGGTTGCGGCCGGGTTCGGACAGGCTCCTTGGCCGCTTTTGCGCGCACTTTCGAGCCGCAAAGGTGGAGCGTTGATATCATTCGCTTGTCCGCTTGTCCCTTACGCCGAGATGGACACAGGCGAGCGCCAGCAAACTTCCTTCCAAGATAAGGAGAAAGTCGTGGAGGAGGTGGTCGAATAACAGAGGCGCTGGCTATGGGTTGGGGTTAGCGACGTGACGATGGGTGCGGGGCGCTGATGTACACTGCGACGGTAATCATTAGTCTGCCACATATAAATTTCCCAAAACTAGATGGTTGGAGATGGTTTCGTGGAAAAAAGCTCAAAATATAAGAGAAAAAAAGACATTTTATTTTCGCTTTTAGAGAGGAAACAATGGGAAGATGAATTGCATTCGGAATTATCGTTCGATTGAAGGGTTTAAGAGACTCGTCACTACGCGTCACCAGTACAGCATTTGATTAACCGGATGGATATAAGAGGCAAACTATGTACAGCATTGAATGTTAATCGATTGTACACAGTAGGAACAGAGTAGCAGACAATCAGACAACTAATCGATAATCGTGCTTCGGGAAGTCGTTCACCGATTTTTTGACTGTAAATTAAGAAAACAGCGAGATAACACCGAAAGATAATGGAACCCTCAGCATCTACAAACGCAATTATGAACTAACAAAAAAAACATCGATATAGAAAAAAAATATTTACATCATTGTAGGAACAAGAGCAAACACATTTAAAACAGCTCTTCTAAAACGTCCCCCTTCTTTTTTTGGGCATCACTCTGACAAAAATACTTAACAGTTATGATGGCGTCAGATAACAGTCGACGCTCTCAAAAATTTTGGTTACATAAAATAAAGACTCGAATTTCATAAATCACACTAAAATATGACTATCAATATTTCTTGAAAAAAAAGTGAAAAGCGTAGAGTTTGAAATCATTACCACCAAAAAATAGTCAGAAAAATAAAACCTTCGAATTTCGAGGAAGAGCAGAATTATACTCTCACTCGATTTCATAAAACAATGCATGGCAAGAGGTGCAGACACGCGCAGTCGCGTCGCGGTCACCGAACAAGTTTCAGAGTTTTGACACCTTAGGCAGCATTCAGAGATGGCGACGTACATGCGATTGGTCGATTAGGCGATTAGGCGATGATAAAGAAAAGTTTACGTATCGATTAGGCGATTAGGCGAGTAGGCGATGAAAGAAGGATACGTATTGATTTGTTGCTCCGCCCATGAGCGATCGCCTAATCGCCTAATCGCCTACGCACTTACGATCGCCAACTCTGAACGCTGCCTTAGATGTGTTGAAAGCCTTACATAAACACTGTACGATGAGTCAAAAAGATGTTGAGGGGTCTTATTCAGCATGCGGTCCTACCACGACGCGACTGAGCTCAACTGCTATTTCTCGGAAAATAGTCGTTCGACTTTGTGTGCACTCCGAGCAATGATATCTGACAAATGTATCAATAACCTCAGAAAAGGCTTGGCGAAGGCGATCAATAAATCAATAACACATTCAGCTGCGGAGCATCTTATATATTTCACATATAAAAACTAAAATTATGGAGGTAGAACTAACATTGTGTTAGTTGTGCACTTGCTGGGTTCAAATAAAACCGGGAAGCCATAAGGAGCGATGAAGATTCAATAAGTACCAAAAATGGAATGGCAAAATACGAGGCCACGGAATTTCAGCTTCCTTGATTCGATCGATGCTGAAAGTGACGGCTATCGTCGCTCATTGGATTGATCGGCCGTAGGTCGTCGATCGAGGAATGATGATCGGATGGTGACACTGCCACAGGTCACCGTGCCCTGCTCTCCATGTAGAGAGGAGGAGTGAAGAGAAGAGAATGATGGAGAGATGAGAATGAAATGAAGCGAACATGAAAGTCTCTGAACGCCCTGATTTCAACTTGCATAATCTAAGCCGGTAGACTAGAATAATTTTCCGCCTAATTCACCGGGGACAAATAATCACCAACGCCTGTACACTCTAGGGATACTGAATTCTGCAGTTTGGAAGCAAAGATCGCAGCGGCTGAAGGGCGGTGCGGTCTTGATGACGTCATTGATGATCCGTGGATTACCTCCGCGACCGTTAGGAGGCGGTACCAATCACACCCCATCGCGGTGTGGTTGGTACCGCCTCCTCACGTTCTTCCATCAATGACGATCAATCATTTCATCAAAACCGCACCACCCTTTGCCATCGTGATCAGTGCCTTTAAGTTCATAGAGTGTAAGGAATGTGTGCAGTACCCTTGTTGGGGATATGGGCGGCATCCATTATTCAAAAATTTTCAAGCTGAAAAGCGAGTGGGACTGATCACAGACGCGAAACGAACTTGAGTTCAGCTTCGATGCTTTCGTTAGTCAGGGTTACCCTTATCCGGTGCAGATCAGTCGGCGCAAGCGGTTGAACGAGAGCTATCCGCGACCGCTGAGATTCCCACACCTTCAAAAGTGGTCACTACTCTCCCGTCTCTCCCCCCTTACTCTCTTTACCATCAGTCAGTTATATGATTAGCAACGTTGAAATCAGAACATGTTCGTAAGACGATGATATAGAGCGAAGAACAGGGCACAGACATTTAGTCATAAGATGGCACAACACCGGCAGAGACCTGAAAATAAGAAAATATTAATATTTTAGGGATTGGTTGTCGAATGTGGTCATTTTGGCTGCTAATCAGATGGGCAGTCTATGAGTCACTGGTGCTCACGAATGCAAAGCAGCTGAGATAGAAGCTGCACAGATTGGAAAACCCTAGGCGTAATGAAGAAGAACCACAATACAATCAATATTAATATTATATTAATGAACATATGAACTATTTGAGCTTCCGCCTACGGCTTACGCATTCAAGATTCATAATCTAACCAGATTATAGAATACGTTCTGGGTCTAATTTACTAGCTGCAACGGTTGCTGAGCAGCGGTCAACCGTCGCTTCGCACGTATTCGACTGGGGGTTGGCATATTGTGGTTTAATTTCGTTAAAAGGGTCCGCATTAGGGGTGATAGATGGGATTAAGTAATTGATTCGTTGAGTGAAGGTGGGCGGTGGGGGGTGGGTGAGGCGCGAGCGCGATTCATCATCGGCTCTTTTTTAGGATATTTGTTGAGCAGGATGTGATTTCTTGGACATAAAATAGTGGTGTGGATTGGTTCCGACGCACCGAGGTGCCGGGAGATGCCACGGAGCAACAATTAGTATGGATGCTCGCCCTACTGGCACCACTTCATGTTGATAGTTGTTCCATTGCACAGCAGGACCCCCCCCCTCCCGCTAGATGCCTTTTTGGATTAGAAGTGGGCGGAGCCTGGGCTGTGTCGACTCGACTGGTCTCGGAAATCAAATACTATAGAAACACAGGCCATGTTGGCGGGTGGCGGTCGGGGTAGGCTAGCCAGAGGTTTGAGGGAGCCTCCTAAGCCTCATTAGGTGGTGTGTGGTGGTTCGCATCGAGACCCCCTAAGGGAGGGGGGGGGGCGAAATTACTGAAAATGTGCGAACGTCACGGTTGACTATGTTGCTGACGCGGTTACGTTTTGTGTCCATTAAGTACAAATAAGTGACATCGAAAGCGCCAAAGGAACTAGTGGAAATGTTTCAAGTATTTGTTAATGCGTAAATTGGCTAGCTCATCAAAGCAACTATCGCGCAACATTGCGAATGCATTAATGCCTGCGTCTCGCCCGTCTCCTATAATCTCTCCGCCTATCTTGGCAACTCCAGCGTTATGTCTTTCATGGTAGCACACTGCCACCTCATCCCACCCCCACCTGGTTTAGCGGTTTCTTTTTCTTTTTTGTTTACTTTTTTATTTTGTTTTTGTTTTCAGTCAATTTCATCCAGTTTGGGAAAATTTCAGCACGAACAACGCCAGGTCGATCGCTGAATAAGCCTCTTAATGTAACTGACAACACAGGAACCCCAAGTGTCAACTCTGATTCGAGCGGAAAAGCACGCGCCAGTGAGAATAAATAGAAAAACAATACTATTGTCTGAGTGTCGTAATAGTGACAGAAGAATCTTCGATAACACTACAATCTTGAACTGACCTTATGGCTAATTACGCTGTTTCACAAACGCTCCGCACCAGCTTCACCTTTTACACTGAAGAATGGCACCACAACTTCGCGTACGCTGATTCTTCAATTTTTCGAGCAAGGCATGCGCTATAAAACGGGCCGGGAGGACTTCCATAAAGAAGAAAAAAGAAGAAAAAGGACAGAAAAGAAAAAAAAACAAAAAATTACCTGCTGGCCGTAGCTGATAGTGGTGTGTGGTGGGCAAAGTATGCATGAATTTCCACGTGCGGTCGATGATGCTGGAAAAAAGATCCTTCAAAACACAAACAGCATCTAACAAACTATTCGAAAAATGGAGAAATCACAGTTTTCTGGCGCCTTTCCCAAAAGCGAGAAAAATGAAAGCGGAAAGAGTACCAACGTTACTCTGAGAGATAATGTGGCAAAAATCGTTAGAAATTATCGTTTCTACACAAATATAATATGGTTGTCTATGAAGAAATATCACTCATGAGCACACGTAAAAGCTCTTGTGATAGCTTTGAAATATAAAAAAGTGAGGAAAACAGAGCGTGAACGTGCTGCTAACTGCAATTGTCGCTGTGTCTGCTGCGCGCAACGCGCAACCTCAGTGTAGCCGCAATCGATACCTACATATGCTATACCTGTAGGGTATCATAGAGCTCAGATTGTGAGTTTTAGTGCTGCAAGATGTTGATAAGTGTATTTTTAGCTCCTACGTGTATCGTTAAGCTTTCCTAACTTCCTTACTGTTGTGATTTGTATCTGTTTAGGGTACTTCTATTTTATTGGCTTTCCTAGTTTATTATCTATAATAGAACTTGCCAATTATAGCCGACTGCAGCGCGTGCAACGGACGCCAGACAAAAAAATGTAAGTGGATCAGTAAATAAATAAATAAATGAAATAAGTGGATAAAAATTGCCAATACACTCGAGCCACATACCTTGAACTCTGAATGGCTTCCTTCGAAACATTCTGACAGTCATACAAGTCGATACGTTTCAATGCCTTCGCGTGCCTCATATGGGAAAGGGCCGAATCCGTGATCTGTGGACAATTGTCCAGCTCCAGAACCTGCGATTAAAACACTTGCGTTATGATCGCAGGGGAAACGATAAAAAATACAAGGAATTAGAAATTGATTGTGCTAAAAGAAGTCCAGTTCCAGAGGAAATAATGAAAATTATGGCTCATATATATGATATACTGACTAAAACATTAAGCTATAAGATAAAACGGAAGACAATGCTGGGTAAGGTAACATTCAAAAAAATCATGAGTGTGTTGAACAGTCACACAATAATGGCAACAATTACAAAAACTTCAAGCCATCGGCCAGAAATTTCTGCCTGTAGAGGAATGAATGCAATAAGGCCCAGCCTTCTTTGTACGCGGCCCTACGAATACCATAAGAAATGAAGAAAACCCTCGTCTGATGATTCCAACTGGTGCGCTGACTATTTCCTCAAACTAAGGCACCACAACTGCCGGGTCCATCTTAGGCATTGTAGCTCATGAAATTACTGATCGGTAAGAGTCGTGAACACATTCACCGGAACGCACGGACTAGAATAGTGTGAAGGCACTATACTACATGACCGCCGCCGTGGGAGTGCGCGGCGACGACGCTTCCTGACGCTAGCCTCAATCGATGGAGAATGAGAATACTGCTTGATATTCATTCATTATGCTATCATGTCACAATATTCGAAATGCCAAAACCACCCCAATTCCTAGTACTTTGACCATAATATGCGTAAAAAAGTAATTTTAATGTTGTTGTTGTACGCATTTCCATGACTTGCTGTGAAGGAGAAGCTTTCCATAATAATCTTTTTTGAACCAAAATCAACACTCAAATACAACACACCTGCAACTTTTCTTTGTTGTTGGTGCAAAGGCAATGAATTGACTCGTCCGTGATGAGCTCACAATGAGAAAGGCTCTAAAATCAGTTGAAAATGGCTTCGTAAATGAGGTGAAGCACTCTAACATCCTACTAAGGCCGTTTGTAAAAACTCAGATTCAGATGCCAGAGTTCTAGGTAGGCCACATAGTGATCGCTTTTAACTCCTGCCATTCCGTTCTGGGCAACACTGGATTTGTAGGAAATGGATAACTGTACATGGCAGCAGATCAATCGCTGCTATTATGTGAGTTTGAGAAAGTTTTCACGATCCCCGCTACAGAGTCTCGACAAGACTCCATCACTACCCAATTTTGAACGGTTCCCCAAAGGATCCTGTACCCCAACAACAATCTGATCATTTCTACAGTACTTGATTTCGAGCCCAGGTGACACCATTTAACTTGGCCCATAAAATGCCCGAACAAAAGAAGATCTCCTATGGATATTCAGAATACAATCCCCCTTCTTAAAATCACACATGCACAAAATTTAAATACAGGACCTTTCCAAAATGTAAATTTGAAGTGAGTTCGGTGCAACAATCAGTGTAGGGGACATGGCGGTAGCACGGACAAAGACGGCTTTTTTGACATTGCTGCTACAGAGCTGCTGAGCAAGAGTAGCACCTAATCGCTACCACCACGTGTTCATCTCCACCATTTCAAAGATTTACCCATTCAGACCATAGGCAGGAAGAGGCCTATGAAAAGGGAAGGAAGAGGATTTCTGTGGAAGTTGACACTTTAAAGGAATCTTGCGCGGAAAAATCATGATTCTATTTCAGCCATAAATCACTGGCTTGAGACTCATTATCCACGATAATAGTGAAAAGAACTGAAGTATTGCTTTCGTTTTGATTAGAAATTCGAAAACTCGAAAAGGCTGCTACGCGTTCGAATTGCCCACGGACGTCTTTCACGAATGCTGGCGACGGGGATGCTCAAACTTGGTTCTTGGAGTGCATTCACTAGAAGCTCTTTCTGGCTTTCTTCGTTGCATTCACATCTTACACTTCTACTCCATCCTATCCATCGATCGATTTGTCTCCACTCTCCGAAATCGCGCGCTTTAACCCGATTCTCTCATTGCGTCGCCTGGTACGTAGCCGGCCAAACGCCGTCTTCTTTCCATGCCTCGCCTGGCTCTGCCTCCTGGTCCTTCGATGGTCCATAACGTGTAGTTTTTGTACGTTTGTTTCTCTTCAGAAACCGAATCTTCATGCGTGAAACTTTGTGTGCTATTTCCAGTGATCACAACTGACATATTCATGTTAGGAAAGAGTGCAAGAATTTTCCGCGCAAGATTCCTTTAATGATTGCGCGGAGGCATAACTTCACCGCAGATATCGTAGAACCCGCAAAATGCACACGGATGTTCACTTGAAAAAAAGTCTGCCAATAACGGAAGCAGCTATAAAAACAGAACGAATGACTCACCAATTCTGACAGATTACTACAATTGGTGCTAAGCGAGTGAATCGTCGCGTCTGTAATCAGACTACAATCCTCCAAATCCATACGCGCTAAATTTTTACAGTGCCTAGCCAGCTGAATGAATCCGGCATCCGAAAGAAGACTGCAACCAGACAGCTCGATGTCTCTGAAATTCATTAGAGGCTAATCACAAGGATTCTTGCAAGCAACAGGTAAAATCAATTCCGTAACAAAATACACGAAATAAGAAAATGTTGCAGATGGACAACTCGTGAGGAGTAATGACGTTCCTTGGAGGAGGCAAGGTAACGGAAAGACGGGAGCGCATCGGGGAAGTCACTGCTGCACCACCATGAATCACCTACTCGATTGCCGACAGCAAGAATACTGTGATTTCCGACAACGAGATGTGCGCTGGTGCTGAGCAGCACTTCGAAAGCCGCTCCCCCCCATCAAGCGCCCGCCACGAGTTCATTGTGAATTGAACGAGCTGCGTTCCGCAGGGGACCACCGGTGGCGACTGGAGCGTGCTTGGCAGGTGCAAAACCGGTAGCGCTTAATTTGTACATAGCTTCCGTTTTTTTGAAATGTTCAGCCTGTCCACGAGATGATGAAAGCACGCCAATAAAGGGTTCCCGTTTTGCGTTTCTCCTGACGGATTTGTTCTGCCCTTTTTCGCCTTCTAGGTATCCATTGAGCCCACACTGACCGCCCACCTAAATGACTTCTTGAATTTCTCATTTAAATAAATTCTGTGATTCAGCGTGCCCCAGAATGGAAACTACACAAATCGTGATATCTTTTCCTTGAGCAAGTCAGTCGCGGCAGGTTCAACCCCGCCTCCACGCTCTTACAGTACGATCCCCTCCAACGGTCAATAAAGTCGTTGGGCTTGCTACCAATTAGAAAGAAAGTCATTAAACCACTCCTGAACGAAACCCGCTAAATTCTCTCAAGAGCTGTGGAGGGAGCAGTACGACCCGCACAACGTACGAAAATTCTAAGTATCAGTGCTTTGGAAGTAGATTGAAATTGAAATCAAAACACTTCAAGAAATTGATCAATACTCACGTTAGCATTTTACATCCCTGTGATAATGAGATCAATGACCGATCAGTGATTTGTGTACAATTAGACAGACAAAGATATTGTAGATGAGGACTTCCACGAGCAATATGGGCTACTGTCTCGTCGTTCACCTGCAAAACCACAGTATGCAGCCGAACTCGTCCATCAGTAAGCAAAAAGCAATGTAAAAATCACTTACGAAGCATGACAACAAATTGATCACTTCCAAATTTTTCATGTTATCGATCGAGTTAGCGAAAACTTGCTCTGTCAACTGAAACATGACAAAAATTGATTTTTGAAAAAAGTTCCAAAATCAGACGAGTTTTCACTTACTCCCTCGCATCCTTTCATGATGAGAGTGGTCAGACCTTTGCAGCCAGATAATATCATTTGGACGCCTTTATCTTGGATATTGTCACACCAACTGATATTCAAATACTGCAGATTTGAACATCCGTCACTGAAATTCATCATACTATCATTTTATGAGAACATATTCGTTTCTATGGCGAACCTTTTCATTTGCAAATTCACCGCCCATGCAAGCAACTGCGTGAAAAAATGAAGCTCTATAATCTTGACAAATGCGGCGCAGAAGCTAGAGGCGCCGCTGAGCCATTATGCCCCGCCCTGCGCAGTTCAACCCCGTTCCAGACAATCGAGCGGTCCACGTCTCGAGTTTGGCTAATCCTTAGCGGACTTCCAAGACGAATCAAACGCTGACTCAAACACAGGCTGTTCTCCGAAGCCCATTATGCCAAACAAGCACCAAACGCTTGAACTATTTCGAGTGAAAATCAGATTCATGGCGTATTCCAACTTTACTCCAGCATCGAGTCCTTCGTCCAACTGACCCTAGTGTACTTTTGAGGAACGTATTTTTAATACGTATAGCTGTTCTTCGACTCATTTTGGAGGGGATGATGAGCGATATATTCAATCGTGTGGACAACTGTACTGCAGCCATATTTCGCTGAACAAAGGGACAAAGGACAAATCGATCGGCTCGGATTCCTCTTGGAGTGCGCCATGTATTCAACTCCCGCTCATAATTGTAATGGCAGTAAATAGCTAGGATGAGATTCAAACTGGGACTTGAATCACGAAATAAGCATACAGCAATAGCGCTTTCGCCTTACCCCTATCCTGCACTAAGTGATTCCGTGACATAACGCTGACAAAGTCATTTTGAAACCTTTTTTTCCTCTTAGTTAACATTTCCCCCTTCCCAAAAATTGAACAATGGCTACTAAGTTAACATATCGACCTTTCTATCAATCGCTTATGGTGAGAGTCGCGCAATATGTATACGCGACCAAATGTCTCGTGAAAAAAACGCACGGATTGATCTTTGGGATGAGTTTTATAACCGAACAAAACCAGAAAAATCACGGCTTACCTTATATACCTAAGCGCTCGGTCGGTAATCGCTGTACAGTTCTCCAGATTCAAATGGACCAATTTATGGCAATGCCTCCCAAGATTTTCGCATGTCCTGAAAGATAACTATTCAAAAAGAACCATCTTCGTGACCAACCACATGCAGGCGGGCGGCCGCGTTGCGATTTCGACCAAATGGAACCTTTATTGATTTACTGGAACTGTCGATTGGTGATTTAAATTGAAAGCTGATGTTATGAAAATACACCAACAACTTCCTGTGGTGACACTGAAATTCCACAACGCGACCGCATTCCCTTAATTTTATGTGCACAGTCCATACGTCTTCTCAAAAATAAAAATCTATCACAAAAAACTTAACATTCCGTCACTCGTTTACACCCTTTTAATTAACAAATGAGATCCGAATTGGCACACTTAGCTGTGAAAGACCGTAATGCCGAATCCTGCAATACATATTTATGACAGCGGAGAAAAAGAAGAATAGTATGGTAGTAAGTGGCAGTTGTACCGTTTATAAACAGGAAACTACTGTGGAAAAATATATCGGTCGATAAAAAGAACCCTAACCTGTATATTTTCACATCCCTTCAGTGAAAGCTTCTTCAGGAAACCACCACAACGACGAGCCAAGTTTTCAACGGTGGCTGCCTAAAATGGCTCCACAATGAGTGGCGCATTGATTAACGCCGAATGTTTTCTCCTTTACTGAAAGGAACCATAGCCGGACAAGGTGACCCAACAAGTGCGAGTGAATACAAAAGCATCATCTAATCGGTAAAAATAGACTTGCTACATAAGTGACAAACCTTGACATCCTTTTGAAACGTGAATAAGTCGACCCGTTGCCAATTCGAACCGTCAAGTGCCAGCACATTCCATGAACGGCATGTCTGTGCACATCTACACAACGTCTTCATATCCAGATAAGAGAATATTCTGGAAGCAGTACCAAAATTAGTACGAAGTAAAATACTTAGATTGGCACATAAACACTGAAATTGAAGACATTGAAGGGGAAGGAGCAAGGATTGGGTTGGCTCCTAATTGGCAAACCGGAGCACCAAGCGTATGCTTAAATAAACCCTATAGTAGAAATGAGAAAGAACCAAATGACACACCGCGTCCATCGTAAGGCCGATGTCAGACTTTGCGATTCGCGCGATTCGCTAGCGTCCGCGGTCGCGTTGCGGTACCAGCCAATTGAGTGATTCACTGGCCGCGACGCGACCGCAGACGCTAGCGAATCGCGCGATTCGCAAAGTCTGACATCGGCCTAAGCCGGGTTGGCTGTATACCTGGTTAATTGTTTTCAAATTAGGAACTGTAAAATGCATGATTCAAGTTTCAGCCTATCCTATGTACTCGTGTACCTAAGTATTTTTTTCAAACTACCCGTTCAACATCATGCTTGAGCAGATAGTTCCCTACCA